CCTATTCACAAATCCGGAGATAAAATCAGCCCCTCTAATTACCGCCCTATATCGTTGCTTTCGACATTGTCAAAAATAACTGAAAAGGTAGTTAATAATAGACTCATAGCATATCTAGAGAAGAATAAACTACTAGCTAATACCCAATATGGATTCCGACAGAACCGATCAACAAATGATGCTGTACTGTTATTAACTGAAAAAATAACGGACTACATAGAAAAGGGAGATAAATGCATAGGTGTTTTCCTTGATATGCAAAAGGCATTTGACACTGTTTCGGTAGAGGTGCTAATGACAAAACTAGAGAATTGTGGGATAAGAGGTACAGCCTTATCATGGTTTAGAGATTATTTAAAAAATAGGAAACAAAGAGTCCGAGTGGGATCGGTAGTTAGTGCACCTGCCAGCTCTGAGTACGGTGTTCCTCAAGGCAGCACGCTCGGACCGACCTTATTCCTTATTTACATAAATGAATTATGTGAAATTCCCCTTCATAATGCAGATGTATTAATGTTTGCGGATGATACCGCTATACTTTTCCACAGCAGTACATGGAATTCTGTAAAGGAAGAAGCAGAAAAGGGACTAACTACTGTGACGAGGTGGCTAGAAAACAACCTGCTAACTCTAAATACCTCCAAAACAAAATTTATACCTTTCTACAAAACTGCAAGATCCAAGCCACCAAAAGACTTTACAATAACGATACATGAAGCCCCCTGCAACAGAAATCACAACTACAACCTTAACTGCTCATGCACTGATATAAAAAGAGCAACCATATTTAAATACCTTGGTGTCATACTTGACGAACACCTAAACTGGAAAGAACATATCAGATGTGTAGCTAACCGCATAAGAAGAATGATAATCATCTTCAGGAAACTCCGAACAGTTGCTAATCAGGAACTCCTGCATAAAACCTATAATGCTTTATGTCATTGTCTCATAAATTATTGTGTCTGTTCTTGGGGAGGGGCATCTAAAACCTGGCTTCTTGAAGCAGAACGGGCTCAGAGAGCCGTACTAAAAGTTATGTTAAAACTTCCATACAAACATCCAACTAACGACTTATATAAAATATCAAATATCTTAAGTATTCGCAAGACATATATATATGAATGCATAAAGCGACTTCATAAAAACAAAATGAGTGTAACATCACTACAAAGTACAAGAATTAAAAAGTTCCATCTTCCAGCTGTTAAAAGTTCCTTTGCTGTAAGACAGTTTAAGTTCCAGGCTCCCTATTTATACAATACTGTTAATCAGAAGCATAATATAAGAGGTTTGAAATCATTTCACATGAGAAAAGTCATTAATAAATGGTTAAAACACATGGATTATAATGAATGTGAATCATTAATATGTCATAATTAACAATTCTATGTAATCACACGAACACACATACACACACACGCACAGACACACACACACGCATACACACACACACGCATACACCCCGTTCAAACACCCAACACATACACGCACATTGGTACACTTAAACATTTATTAATTTTTAACTAATTTAGTTTTTTTTTATATAATTTCTAGTTACTATTGTTTGTTCTTTTTAGATTACTAAATTATTGCTCAACTTTTAAAAATTGTACATACGCAATGTAACTCATAGGAAGTCATTGGCTCCTTTAATACAGGGAGACCTAGTAAAGGAGCCAAGGTTATAATGAACCAGATTTGTTGAATGTACAATAAAACTTTATTATTATTATTATTATTATATCTATTAGAACAAACCTACCAAAACACTTTGATTATGTTACACTTTAATTAGTTACTTTACTTAGTTAGTTACTTACATACATTTTAATTTAAAAGCTCGAACTGCGGTAAATCCTTTGTTTCTAAGATTTGCCAACTAGGTATGGTAATAGTCCGAAAAGTTCTTATGAGCTTAGTTTATTTCAAGCATTTACCATCATTCACTTCTCGACTAGGTCAATATGTAAGCCCTTTAAATACTCGGCAAATGTCGATAAAAAGGCGTATGTAAAAATATGTATTTTAATGACATAAATTAAAAATTAAATTATCTTTAAAGTTTTATGTTAATCGGCAATTTATCAACATTGACATTGGACGTGAAATATTACTAAATATTGGTTTACACAAGGTTTAAATTATTCAAACTTTCGTGAGACATTATACTAAACTGATATATAAACACGGCTAAACACTCACGTATATACGTCCGGTGGCGGCACCGACTAGTTACACCGACTAGAAACTTCAACAACAACACCACCGACGCTTTGGTATCAACATCGTCGACGACGCCGGCGCAACCCGCGCCCCCCGCCCCCTCAAGACGCGCCCTAAGAGCGCAGGCGCGCAGTGAGCGACGGGC